GCTGAGGAACGGAGTTCAAGCGGCAGTAAGCTGTTAGCAGCGGAAGTAGGTTACAAATAGATTCTGTATTTATTTTTTTTTGCTAAAATTGTACGAACGAGAAAAGTCAAACGGTATGCTAGGAGATCAATCATTAATTATCAAATTCTAAATATTCCATCATTATAGTTTTAATGAATTTAATAAAGACCCGCATATGAATTATAAAATAATCGAACTCTATAATTAGAGTAAAAATGAATCGTTCCAATTAGGTTCTAAAAGAAAATTAACGCAGATAATTTGAAACAAATTAAGAACATCATGCTCGGCCGCGTAAATTGAAGCCTTCAAGAATAAAACGATCATGCATAAATTTAGTAAAAACAAAAGACGTAGCAATAGTTAATCAAACAAACGAGGTACAACAAATTCAGGCACAAACTAGTTAAACACACGCATGCCTGTTTGAAAGAATATAAAAAAGGTAAGAAAAGTTAACAATAAATTTGAATAGAAAAATGTGGTAGTAGTCTGGTAACATGAGAATTGCTCATTTTTGGGAACTCACCCTTCGGTCGTTCCGGGGCTGGTTTACGGAGGCCATGAAGGGGTACGTCGCCACCGCTCTGCACGGTTTTGTAGGCCAACCTTTGCTCGAACTCGCTCAAAGGGCTGATGTCTTCCTTGCGACGGAACACCAGCGTCGAATCGCTTTCGTATCCAGATTCTTTGAGCGCGCTTCACACAAATAATTTCGAAGTTTCAAACGCAATCTCCATCATTTCATTAAAAATTTACTTCTTTGCGAGATTGTAAGTTAACACATCGTTGTCGGGTTACGTGTTTTTACGTTTTTTGCGATCTGTCACGTAAAAATACGTATTTGACAGACTTGCGGTGGAAAGCGGATGTCGTTCGCGGCGCGATGCACCCCCATAGACTGTGTTAAAGTGTACCACTACGTGGCAACACTTGAAATGATTGAGACCAACTGAGCGGGACTAACGTCCTTAAAATTGCAAATAGAAATTGGGAATGCACTCACTGTGACATGTACGGTTTCACTGAACGACTGCTGCGCTGGTCGAACGGCTGAAAAATAAAAGGTCCTTTCAAATATACATAAGTACAAAATTCTTCAACATGTACATCATGCAGTTTGTGTTTTTGATCCGAACTGATCATAGTCTCGCACCGTGGAAGAAAATGTTTAATTCGTGTGTGGATATGTACAAGACTGTTAAAAAATCTGTGCCCACGAGACATCGATTGATCGCTTACACAATTCATGCGACATTCGGCAAATGCTAAGCGGAAATCAACAATGACTGGTGCATAGGAAATGAAATGCCGTTCGGAAACGCAGTAGAATAGGCTCAGCATTAAAGAAGTAGAAGAAAGAAAGTTTCAAGTTATTCACTGAACCTTAAACAAAAGACAAGATTGATTATAACAAATCAGAGTCTACTTGCTTCTTAAATTCGAAAGTGTACGACATTGTGGTAGATACAATTATACACACAATAATATAACACTGACTGACAGTAAAAGGTGGAAAGAGAACGAAGGAAATAATCAGAAAGAGAAAGAAAGAAGAAAGACAGTCGAGTGACAGAGGACAACGTCATCGTGCATTGCTACTTGTCGATGATGTTGGAGCCTCTAACCCGTGAAGCGGCCGACGTCTGAGCGTTGGCGATGATAACAGAGGATGTTGTCGATGCTGGTGACGATAGCATAATGTGATTGGTGCTGGAAATAGAAGAAGACGTAGAAGAAGAAGAGGTGGGCGAGATACGTAGTTGTTGTTGTTGAGATTGCTGTTGTTGTTGTTGATGATGATGATGATGGTGGTGATGGTGGTGATGATGATGGTTGCGGTGACAATGCTGCTGCTCGTCGCCGGTAGCTTGTAGGAGCGTCGATCTGATAGCGGCCGATCTGTCGCCGAGCGGCGAGCTCGATCGGCGCAAGCAACGATCCGGTAGCACGAAGCTCTTGGATCTTCCTTCCAGCATGCCAGCGTGCCAGCCGCAGTCGGCAACAGCTCGTTCTAAGGCGGGTCGCGCTGTGATTCGATCCTTCGGATCGTCCTTATTAATAATCCTCGGGGACTGCTCGAGGATCCCGGTCCTCGCGTAGTCCAGCAGGTTCATGCTCGACCACTGCTTCGAGTTGGACCGCGCGCGCGTCAGACTATCGTCCGTAACGGTAGGACGATGCAGCTTCGCGACCTCGACGGTTTTCGAGCTGCTGACCGCTGCTGATCTTACATTGCGAGTTCTCTCCGGTCGATAGGAGAGGCTCAGAGCTCGGTGGCTTAGCTGAGCGTCTCGAAGATCCTCCATGCCCGCCGTCCCCTGCGGGTGTCCGTTCTCGTTCAACCACTGTCGAGGTTGTTTCGGTTGGTTGTACATAGTAGGTAGTTGTCGGTAGATAGGATTGTTGTCGCAGTCGTCGTAGCGGCATCGACCAAGGACCAGGGGGAAGATACGTGATCCGGGATGATCCGAAGTGCACGCGGAGGTGGACAAGATACGCAACACCAACGACACACGCACACGCAACATGGACATCGATCACGATACACATGTATGTTATACATATTGATTATTGCGGGGAGATTGATTAATCTTGATAATTTTGAAGCGATTTGGTGACGAATATGGGAAGATTAAGAGAACGTGTGAATGGTTGAATAATATTTCTCATGCATAATTCACCCCGTGCGTTTCGCTAATTATAAGTGCGAACCAGAATTATACCGGCACACGAAAAGCCAATTATTTGAAGACGTTAGATACTATCATTATTAGTTTGACAAATATTAGAGTGGGTTTTAGATACGTAGAGAGAATGAAGATGTTTCTGAATAATTCTCAATGAAATGATTTATGAATAATGTAATGTTGAATAATGCCGAATTATTTTTAAAAGGATTACAGCTAGGAATTTTTTAATTCTTATTGTCATCAATTTTTGCTTCATTCACGTGTAATGAAGAACCACGAAGAAATTTTTACTAGGTTGAAAGGCATTTTGTACAACATTGAAAATACTACATTTTTAGTTTATAGATTTCAGCTCGTTGCTCCGTTTTTTAAGATTTTGAAAATAATTACGAAACAGTAGATGTCGATCTTAAATACAATCCAACGTACCCAGAATAGGAGGATAGTACGACGATAGAGGAATCGATAGACAGAAGAGTATTGTAATAAAATGTAGGAAAACTGGGATAATACTTATTCAACTACAATTAAATATAAAAGTGGCGTACCCCGTCAAATATATCCATGACCTCGTCCCACCACTAGAAACATAGAATTAAATATCGCGTTAATCTATGCACTAGTTGTATGAGCGTTAAAATGATATGAAACCGTAAAACGATTTAACTGAACAATGTACATATTATTTTGCGACTGCTTTTCATCCAAAAACCGCAATACTATTAAGATATAATTTTCAATAATTAAGATTTTGAAAATAATTACGAAACAGTAGATGTCGATCTTAAATACAATCCAACGTACCCAGAGTAGGAGGATAGTACGACGATAGAGGAATCGATAGACAGAAGAGTATTGTAATAAAATGTAGGAAAACTGGGATAATACTTATTCAACTACAATTAAATATAAAAGTGGCGTACCCCGTCAAATATATCCATGACCTCGTCCCACCACTAGAAACATAGAATTAAATATCGCGTTAATCTATGCACTAGTTGTATGAGCGTTAAAATGATATGAAACCGTAAAACGATTTAACTGAACAATGTACATATTATTTTGCGACTGCTTTTCATCCAAAAACCGCAATACTATTAAGATATAATTTTCAATACTTTAAGAATTTAGTTTAGAATTTTTTACTATATTTCATCTTTACGTATATTTTCATTTGTTCACTTTTCTGAATGCACTTGCATCGCAGTAAAGGAAATGAATTATTGGATAAAAAGTGAATCACCATGTCTGATCACTAAAAGCCTGCTACTGAAGCTAACCAAAAGAAGAATAAGGAGAAGATAAAACAACGAGTTACGATAAAATATCGAGAAGCATGGACGGAGATATGCGTGCGCTCGATAAATATACCTCTGAACACATCGAAACTGTTTGTAATGAAACAAACGTTAATAACGTGACGTTCCATCTGCGACGACGGAACGTGTCATAGACACGGCAACAAAACAAGCCTCGAAGAGAGAAATCAAGTAATTAAAACAAGTGTAGGTATAGATATACAATATCGCTTTCGGTACAACTGATTTTCAATCTGATTTCAATTCGATTTTAATCGTTACCTTCCTTCTCGTCCGTGTGACAGAAGTCGGCTAGAAGCAAAGCCATTTCAAACGATCAACTTCGAGAGAGACACACACACACACACGCTATGTTCGGGAAGCGATCTACGTTGTGTATGTACGTACCGTGTGTGTATTTGATAAAGTGGCGGACCTCAATCGCGTCAGTAAGTACTTCTAATTGTTAATTCCAAACCTTCGGTTAAAACTCGCGAGGGAGACGCGAAGCGTTCGGTTTTAATTGATCGAATATACTCTTTCTTGAATAGTTCAAGGAATTAAATCATTATTTCTCATGCATTGCATGTAAATTAGTTCTTTTCGATTGATCTTTTCCTCTCCGTTGAAGAATGAAAGACTATTGTAGGGAATGTGAATCTTATCGAAGCACGAGAAAGGTGTTCTTAAGGGAAATACTATATATATATCAATGAACGACGAGGGGGCGAGTTATCTGTCGAAGAACACGTGAATTTGCATACCTCTTTAGCTTCTTTTTCGGCAATCGACGATCGACCAGGCTCGTAGTCCTCGATGCGGCCAGGCTGATTTTTATAGACGTCCGGAGTGTATCTCAGAGTCCCATTTCTGAAATGGAACAAAAGATCCATTTCACATATCAGTACAGAAAAAAACCAATACTGCACGTTTTCGGTGCTCGAATTCTTTCAGGATATTATATTTTTCAAAAAAATCGTATATAAACTTTTTTCTTGAGCTCGTGAGAAATTTCAAATATTTATGAATCAATTAGCGTTTCTTACTTTCTGGGCATAGTCGACGTGGAAAAATCATTTTCCTTGTTACGTAGACGACGGCGGCTATCGAACGTGGCGGAACGATCCGAGTACAAACGATGGTCCGGCTCGCTGAGATATCCACTGCCACCGCTTCCGTAACCGTACCTTGTACCTAGGAAACAGACAATTCGATTCCTTAGAAATTTAACACGTGCACGTTGGTCCGTGTTAAAAGAAGTTCCAGTGCTCATCCGTCACCAGCAAACACAAAAAAATATGTGCACACATTTGTAAATACATGTTCTATCTATCGTGAATGAATGTTCGAATAGCTACCGAATAATAATCACAAACAATTTTAATGAGTAGTTCATATGGTTAAATTATATTTCCATAAAAATTGTATTCCATTTCTGAAGGAATTTGATTGCAATTGAAGTACTATATTGTGTCGTATTATTGTACCATTAATTTAAAAAATGGGTTAGCATCTAAAATTGTTCACACGATTTGGAAAACGATTACCGTGCCGGAAGCGATTAATCAGAACGAAAAAAGCTGAAAGGGGAAACGATTGATTGTAGACGTTAATTGGGCAACGGGATGTTAAATAAAGACGGGAGCGATCCGCGTCGAATCGACTCGGTTATTGTTACTTTTACACACGACCGAACAGCATGGTTAAAATCGATCGCTATAGTTATCTAGTGTTACATAAGTCGTCGATACGTTCGGTGCACGGTATAAAATAGCATCGGGAACGTCATTTGTTGCGGGACAGACGAACGCGTGTGTGAAGGTAAAAATCGAACCGAAGAAGAAGGCCGTTATCGATTATTATTATTATTAGTATACTCGTGAATCAAATTGATTTAATCTATTATAGCGTGTATTCACCTCTTTTTTGTTTGTAACGAATGGTTACGTAGTCATCTGAAAATGAGATTAAGTGTTAATCTCATAATCCAATGATTTCTAATACTACTTGTGATATTTATTTGATACTTCGTAATAGTCTACGACGCCCAAGTCGGCGTAGAATAAAATTATTCTGTTAAATTGAATTGTACCAATTAGGAGAATATACTCGAACAGTGTTAAACGTTAATTTAAAGTTAATTAAAAAAGCTTGAATACTTTTCAAATAATTTTATCAGTTGCTAATCGTTAATACGAGAGAGCTAATTGAAGTTAAATATTTTTGATAACATAACAATTTCATGACAATACTACGCATATGTCAATCGTTAGATTTGTTAAATGTTACCGAGCGTCGTTGTAACATTAATTGCTGTAACAGTTCTCAATTATTACATCAAGTATGCATCGAAGCTACAGTAGAACACTGCCACACAAACTCACCGCTTCTGTCTGCACGATGCAACGAGTCGTACATTCTCTTATACCATTTTGTTTGATTATTCTCCTTGACTTCCTAAAATATTTCGTTTTCTTACGTCAAACACCACGGGAGAACAATAATTCGGCAAATTGAAAAGCAACTAGATCGAATCATCTCTACTTTAATTTATTGAGATTCGTTATAGACGTATGGAATAATCGTTAATCGATATGTTTGGATTTAGTTATTAATTCCTACGCGTATGTCGGAATTAAGAAATGTCATTGCGTTAATAAGATCTGAAGCTTTCAGTAAATCTTGACAGACCTACCGATCTCAAAACAAGAGGGATACCCTCCTTAGTCGTTGGACCGATACCCTCAAATTTTCGAGGACCCAAATCGGCCATCTTCTTCGGCGGTTCATTTTCTGTTTCCGGCTCGCTCTCGTACTCTTTCTTCACGGTGTATACTGAGCGAACATCAATTTCATTTCACAATTGAGCAAGCGTTAGAACTCGCAGGTTCACAGAAAGATCACCGAAAAGACACAATTTCAAAGAACCGTTTTACGAGACAACGAAGTCGTGGGAACTTTTCTCGTTGGAAATTGAATTATTGCAGTTTACATATCGATCATTATTTTACTTTAGAAGTCAATTACTGTTGCACTTTAGTTCACTGGTGGGGTCCACGAAACAAAGTTTATGGACGATTAAAATCACGTGCGTATTTTGCATGGTAACGATGAGGTGAGTATATTCTACTTACTAATTTCGCCTGGACTGATTATTGGCTTGTCGTCGTTCGGTGGACGTTTCAGAGTTTCGTTTTCCTCGAGATAGGCTGCTCCTTTTGGTAACTGTCCTTCTGTGAATCGCATGAAACAATAACAACAGCTAAAAGACAGAAGCTACGTATCGAACATGTCGATTTACTGTTAATAATAAATGAACGATATTTTTAATAAACGACAATGCGAAAAACAAACGTCAAAAATTGAATTAAAGAGTGTTTCATTATTCCTTAAACTTCCAGTTTATTTGATTGACAGTTAATAATAATTTGAACAGTTGGCGTTTTGCTACTCACCTCTTGCTTTCTGCAGGAGTGTTATAGTCGGATTCTGAGCACGCGGCAGACGAGGCGTTGAAGTTAATGAACTTAATCCTTGAGACGGTGCCGAGTGGGAATTGACAATTCGCGAACTGCTGCTCTCATAACTACTTCGCGATATTTCCTTCTTCCCCTCTGCGGATTCCCAAGGCGGTGGCGCGTCCTGTGTAGCCTGCCAAGTAGTGCAAATAACAATAATGAATTCAATCAAATTGATAACAAAACACCTTAAACTTCTATAGGTAATAAAATCTGCTGACTAAATAAAATCTTTATGACTATTTCAGAGTCAGTTAACTTTCTGATATTTTAAATAATATAATTTCAATCATTGTGTTTAAATAAAAATAATAAAAATAATAGTAGTGAACTATTGATTATTTAAACAAGAATTCAGTCTCAAACATTTTGGGAACAAAAAGTTTAGTGATCGCGTTAGAATTTACGAGGAGCGCGTAAATCTCTCCAACTTACTTCTTGCTGTGCTATCTTTTTTCGGCTCAGAACGGGGCTTTCGAATTGCACCGGTCGAAATTCCTTTTTCTCGAGAACTGGGCTGGCTCCAGCACTGGAAGGCGTCCAAACAGGCGGTATCCCACCATCCTTTTCCTTGTCCTTTCGCTCGGGGCTTGGCTCTTTCGGGGGTGGCGGTGGCTCGCTTCCGGGTGACCAAACGCCTGGCAATAAACATTTCCATTGTTGTGTAATCGTCAGCCGTCTGGCCAGGAATTAGCATTCCTTTTACATTAGACAAATTTATAAATCCACAGGCAAGATGTTATTGTCACGTTTGGCTTTCTATTAATATATGTATATTACATTTGTACAGTTGACAATATTCAGCTCAAATTATATTTTAATTTAATATCATTGCCTTTTATATTTTAAGTATGTGTGAATTTGTAACACTTTACGTATTAAGTAAGAGAAGTGAAACTATAGAGAAATTGATTCAGAGTCGTATTTTGCTGTTTCACATTAGCAAACAATTAGCCTTGCACCGATGACTATCAAATCGAACGGCGGGCGTCGAGTTTTAGGTAAACAACATCCGAGCCGAACACGAGAAAGCTTCGCGTTTAGTTCTATTAGTTCTGTTAGGGTCTTTGCACTTGCGAGGCAGACGCAACGGCCAAGCCGCGTAAACCGAACCAGCCAAAATCAACAATTCTGGATCTGTAAGAGGCTCGCTAATTTTGGCTCGCGGGGGCGTATTACATAAAGAATCGTTCTCGGGGCGCCGATTTCCCGCTCCGCTGCCCAAACTCGTTCCAGAAAAGGGCGGAAGCAATTTTGGGCACTGCGCGTTACTGACAGTCATAATTATCCTCATATTTCTATCCTCTCGCACAATCTTAATAATGGCTCGTTCGACCCTTTTTGGGAAGATTTATTACAGTAGATATGTGACGATTAGAGACTGCCTGTTTGAATTACATGTAAATAAATACCTACTAGCTATAGCTTATAAGTAAAGAAGTGATTATTGAATTTCAGGCTGTCCGTTCTTTACCGAAATTTTTTAAATGAATTATCGATCGAAGTAACTTTATCTAATATGAAGGTCTTTGTGGCATGCTCACAGTGACAAACAAATTGGACACGTTCGACTCGAATTGCCAATTAGCCTATCCAATTAGTGAATTCTATGCTATAAATTCTCTCTCTGCGTTCATCACTAGTTCTATTATCTACTAATTAATTAAGAAAATAAGTTAACATTGGAAAAGTCGTATATTTCAAGAGAAAAAAATAGATACGTTCTGGCCCCATGCTGACTATTTCAAGGATCCCGTACGATCCGTCACGATAATTCCGACTTCGCACGTGTCGATTACGACATTAGGAAGCGTAACGTTTCATTTTCGGTGGAAAGGGGTAAAAATAGAAATTCGTAGGCGTCGATATTAAGCCGCGTCTAATTGTAATAATTGGCTCAGCTGCGATGAAACATATACCACAATACTGTGTGCCGATTTTCTGGAGCGCGACCTGTCGCGAGTGATGCCAATTTTCGTTTCATATCGCATTTCTGTTTAAATTGTAGCCGAAGAATCGGCTGGCGTGACTCCGAATCGAATTGACTGTGATTTGTTTACATGCAACGATGTTAGTGCAGAGATCAAAAAGGAGATACTGGCGTAAATCGTTCGAAAACGAATCCCTTTTACTCCCGTTTTATTTATACCCCGAAACTGTTTAAACGAGCTGGACAACGTTACTTCCTGCTGATGCATTGTGTCCATCGATTAGTAATAAAGAACGAGAATGTTTCATTCTATTTATTAGAACTAATGTACATTACTATTATTGTAATACATAAACAACTTCCATGTAATGGTTAATTTAACGAAACAATTTTCATATTTTTTTAATAACTGTAATTGCATATGATAATTCTTTGAATGTCATCAACGATTCTCTGAGTTTGTTAAAAGTTTTCTGTTCCCGTATTACAGTTCACAATAGCACAAGACACTCGGTTAATTTCACGCGTTTCGTTTGCAATTTTACCTGGTGTTGCGGAAGACGCTTTAAACGTGGGAGCGAACATAACGTTCTCTGAAAATACCAACAATCACTTTAAGGATTCGAGCAATTTGCACTGTAGCTTGATATTCCAAACGCATTGTATTTTATTTTTTAATTTTCTTTGATGCGACGATTTACTGTTCTAACCCGTTTAGTGCAAGATAAAAATTTATTATTCAATATTACAAGTACTTGTGTATGTACTTTATTATGCTTAAAATTAGTTCAACTCGAGGTTGTCCTGCAATTTACAATTGATAATATCTAATCGCTAGAACGTTCGATTTATTTAATATCTAAAATGTTACTGTTCACTGACAACGATTTAATGTAGAATTTGATTTTGTACAGTGGAAACTGTTTAAATGTATCTACCCTTTACTCGCGTATTACTCATCAATCGCATCGTCTATTTCAAATGCTCTATTTAAAGGTGATATCCGCATTGACAGGCACCGTGACCTTTGGAAGCATGCCACATGATTACTACCGTCAGAGGCACAGCATTTCCAAGTAAAAAAAACAAAAGTCTCCATCAGGTGTACTCTAAAAATAAGAGGACGATTTTCTCTTCCCTTTAAGCTGATTACTTCCCTCTCGAGTTTTATAATATTTTAATAAACGTAATTAAAATGTACGTAAATAAATAAGTATACATTCAAGTTGTTAAAAAAATAATAATTGAAATATATTAATTTATGATACGTCACTCTGATTTATTAAATCTATATATCATAATAAACATAAACAGCACTTGAATTTTTATAATGTAATAGCGTATAACTTACGATAAGGTAGAAATAAGTAAAGAGTCTGAGCCGTGGGGCTCAGGGCTACGTTTTACTTTTCTTTGACCTTAAATCACGATAGAGAGCGTACTAAAAGACTCTTTAAATTGCTTCTTTATAGAGACGGTGCTGGTCATTAATACAGAAGCAAGCTTGATGAGCTTCGCAGACATAGAGAAGGACAGAAAAGAGAAAAAAGACCAGGAAAGTCTAAGAGAGGAAATTAAGTATCTCTTGAAGAAATGAAAGTCTGACGACTTTTCACGTTCTTATAATTATCTTCATTTTTTAATAATGATATAATTTTAAATTGGAATTCGATTCCTAAGAAACTGATATAAAAAATCCAATCCTGTTTGACGTGCAGCTTTATTTTTTTATTCCATGACTCATGTACTAACATGTGTCCGACTGCCCTCGTTTGATTGTTTATCTTTACATTTTTGCAAGAAGCTAACAATAAGAAACTGCAAATACTTCAATGTCATGCGATACTTGTGACCCTGGGAAATCTAGTTAACTACAGCTACTAAATTTCATCCTTTTATTAAAAATTGATCATTTTACTTATTAATAATAATCGTTAATTTTTAATTTTTAATAAAAATAATCTCCATGCTCTGATAGAAATGGAGCCTAGACAACTTAAATAAAGCAAATGAATCGATCGATAGATAAAACAGTTAACGACTGTCGAAGTCGGACCGGAAAGAGGCGAAGAAGCGGAAGAAGCCAGACTCGCTGACAAACGAAAATAGCGCGCAACTTCTGCCTCTCGACATACAAACGTAGTACATATATACGTACGTACATATATTGCAATTTCGTGCAATCCACAAAACGGTAACGTGACACCTTTACATAATCAAGAACCGGCAAGCTGCAATACGCCACGAGTTTTCCTCTAGTTATTTACTAAACGCTCTATCGTGAGATTTTCACGCACGGTTTGTAAACGCGTTCGCTGGGCGCTTCCACGCGTTGCACGACTTTAAGTGCCCGTCAATTAATCGCACACGAAGAGCCCTTCAACGCGCCCATTGCGAGAATCACGTTTTTCATGCCTCTAGGATTATTCAGGTTGTTAAAATTTCAAAGTGGATCACTTCTTACGTAAGCAATGATAATTTTAACACATGGACCACATATAATATGAATTATGACCAGAAATTGTGGCAGAATTTCAATCTATTCTTCAGTGAATTTAAGATAAACTAAGTTTTTAAACAGTTTCCACTCAATTTTATAAATTATTAGACTTTATCGAATTTGAATTGAATGCAGAATTTTTTTCCTAACCAATTCGGAGGTAGTGAAAAATTGCTTCGGACGACGATTTTAACCGATAAGGCAGGAAAAGAGTGAGAAAAACGGAAATCTATGGAGTGCGATCGAACGGAAGTGTCGAGTGGCCGTCCGAGCTTGTCCCCCGTTTTAAAGCGGACCTCCGCGTTTCGCAGGACAACCTGTTGAACCCCGAGTCGCGTCGAGTCCTTAAGGCGACGTCGCCGGAAGAATCCTATCACGACGCGACGCGACATGAAAGATTGCCGACGACGACACTCACTTTTCTCCAACATCGTCCCGCCCCTTTCTTTATCTCGGATGCAGAGCAAGAAAACTCACTCCGTTCACGCGTGTTCCCGCTTTTCGCGGTTGCGAACGAACCTCGAAGGATGACCGAGGACTGAGAGGCGTCGCGATGCCCAGCGTCGACGACGCCGCCATCGAGACGCGCTCTCCTCGCCTCGGTTCGACTACGCAGAAGCCGGCCGATTCAGAATAGTCGCGTGACGCGGTTACTCGAAACGCACGGAAATTCGCGCCGAGTCGAGCGATGATATCCGAGCGACGCGTGAAACGTAAACGCGTGTCTAATTTTCTCGCAGAAATGAAAACGATATTTTTTTAAGCTCAACTCTGATAACGCCAGAGCGCGTATTTTATTTATGAGAAGCATAGACACGTCGTTATGTTCATTTTCCAATCCTTAATTACATACATCAATGTAA